TTAAAGAGTTGGTCAGTGCACTTCCTGACAACGATGAAATCTACAGAGTCATTAGTTTGGCTGAACTGCTGTGCATCTCCTGTAGGTATTAAGTACAATAACTGTGTTTTAAATTGGCTTTTCAAAAGTTCATCTCTTACGTGAACTCAGTATTCAATTACTTCTGCTGACTTATTGCTGTAGCAGAAGTGTACCATGTCCAAGTAATCTGGAAATTTCTGTTCTCTTTGAGGTGGACTTTTTATGTCTTGTATGTAATACAGTGACAAGAGTTGTGGAAATGAAAAGCTGAGTGCAGGGTTAGTTTTTTGTGAATAGCATAGAGGCAGGAAAATGCTTCCTAAGACCTTTCCATGACACTAATATCGTAATTGAGAAACCAGGCTTTCCCCAAAGTTAACACTTGCATACTGAAAATAGCCTTTTAGTAGCAGTTTAGCGTGGTGAGTGTGTTTGCTTATATTCAGAGCATTTAATTGCAGACAAGACCAGTGACTGTGAGTTAAGATTGACCACAAATTCTACGTCGTTATGCACAGAGCAACAGAAATATTAAAATCCATAAATGGCAAACTCTGTAATGTGTTTCATTAGCAGAAATAGCTGCGCTTTCTCTCTGCTGTAAACAGGATTTCTTTAATGGTTGCTGTTTCAAATTCCATCCATCACTTATAATTTTGTAGTTGGCATTTTCTTTAATTTTGTAGAGGAAGAAAGTTTTATTTAGTGAAAAGATGGTCAGCTAGAAGTATTACTGTTCACTTAAAGCATTGCATTCTGTCATTGAAGCCTGTTACCCTTGACACGTGAAATAAAAATGTGTATTTTGGGATTTTTAAAATGTGCTGTCTAGACACATTATGTGCCAATATCATTTCACTGCCACATGACAAGCTTCACTGACAGTAAAGTCAAACTTCTTCTGTGTTCCAAAGATATTTGGTTCTGCTTGTCCTTAAGCCAATTTTTAATCCATTTCAGTAGCTCGTTCCTTATGCCGTACTTTCTGACCTTGTATGTTAATCCAGTGTGTGATATACAATCCTTACCCTAAATCTAGATAAATTACGTCCCAACGTTCACCTTTATTTCCCAATTCAGTCATGCGCTTTAAACATACAAATTAAAATTAAGCTTTTCAGACCTGACCTTCCTTTTCCTGTGCTGACTGCTCTTTTTCAATTATATTGGTTTAAATGCTTTATAATGTTTCCGTCTTCTTCACAGCTGGAAGTCAAGTTTAAGTTTGAATGTCTGAAGTTCCAGGGCTCTTCCCTTGTTCTTGTGCTAAACAGAGAATGGCCTGCCCACTTTTCTGCAAATTATAGCTTTTCCAGTGGGCTCTCACGTGTTTCCCAGAGGCTTTTCCTTCTTTTGCTGTGCTGTGCAAAATGCTAGGGTATAACCAGTGGCTGCTCAGAGCATTTTGATGAAAAGGAGATGAGAGCAAGGCTTAAGGGCAATTATGGCAGCAGAATTACGTGTTTGTGGTTCTCACTGAGATGCTTGTACCCCACACCAAAAAGCTGACCCAGCTGACAGGGTGTACAGATAGGTGGGGTGCCAGCCAGGCAGTACCCCTCTTGTTGGTCTCCACTGGTGTCTGTGGCAGCCTGTTGTTTATACTGGTGTTGTTTAATGGTGAAGTGCAGTGTGGCTCATTTTCAGCGTGCCTTAATGGATGTATCAAATCTAAAACCAGTATTGATATCTAATAGCAATGGAACCTTTTTTTTTTAATCTTTCTGAGAAACCCAAGTTCAATTTTTAAGATATCCTTTTCAAATATATATATATATTTTGTGTGTGTGTGTGTGTGTGTGGCAATTTTTGTCATAGAATGCGTGAGGATGCAGATATTTTTCAAATTCCATGTCAGTGGTAGCCTACAAAGTTGGATGTTGGCATAAACAGGTGTCATTACTGCTGAATCAGAAAAAATAGACATAATGTTACTGTATGCAGTTATTTCCATGTAAACCATGAATGTTGCATGTTGTTTTTCTTTTTTTAAAAGATCTGATAGAGGATAAAAATTTGAAGTTATATTTATCCATCGAAGAAGTTTTATATCTGCTTCTGGATATTTCAGGAATACCCAGTAGCAAAAGTGAGTCCAAATATATCATTTTAAATTATTTGTGCATCTCGCATGCCATGTCCTGCAGAAAAAAAAAAAAAAAAAAAAAAAAGCAATGATTTGATCACAGTTTTGAAGAAGCAATATCCAGAAGCTAACCTGGTCAGTGCAGATATAACAGGCTTAGGCTGGAATAGCATAAGGAAAGCACCTTAAGTGTTTTGTTGCATAACAGTATTGAATCATTCAGGGAATTTAAGAAGATTGTGATAGTAAAAAGCAAATGACTGGGGACTCAACTGCAGGTAGTTGTGAAAAGAAGGAAAGACTGGTGGTTCTTAATTGTAGCAAAGCTTTTCTTTGTCCAGAGCATGATAAAATTGTTTTTAGAGATCAGATTGGTCCTAAGAGTAGCAGGACTGGTACCTGATGTCAGGTATTTGGTAACCCCAGCATTAGGGTAGTCAGAGCTCACAGAGTGCGACAGAATTCTCATTTCTGATCTGGATTGGCATAACATGAACTTCCTTGAGTGCTGAACGGGTGGGCACAGCCTGAGGCTGAACGGGTATGGCAGCACTTCATTGCCTCCATGCTACCGCTGTCCTTGCAGGTAGGGTTTGAACGTCTGATGGAAGGAATGATTGTGGTGTTCCAGTAGATTCAGAGAGTCTATTGCATTGCTTTCATTTCCTCTTTCAGTGAACTGCTTTGTCCAGTGCTTTGAATAAGTAAAGTTGATGATGTTTCAGTATAAAACATACACAATAGGTAATAAATATATAATATGTAACGAATGAGTAATCTAATACTTTTTGCATTACTTTGCCCTTTTTTTTCTTTTTTTATTCACCTATCTAAAGCAGAAGTTGCCTGAGTCTTAATTCTGTGAATCTTGATGGTAGCGTGAAGGTACCTGCTGTTATCTTAAAGATACGTTTACTGACTGTGAGAATCTTAAGTCTTCATTTCAGTATGGATTAGTATCGACAGGGCTTCACAGCACACTTGTTCTTTTTTTCTCTATTAATGCCTCCTTACGATTGCATATCATCAAGCTAAGCCATCTTCATTGCAGAAATGCGAGCCCACTTGTTCATAGAATATCCACCTTTGGTTGGTTTGAAGGGTGAGTCATTTTGTCAGTGAAGCATGTTCTTTTGGGGAATAACATAGCTCTTCTGACATCACAGTGGTCACCTCTACTTGGACCATCTGAAACACATACGAAGAACAGTATGTCACCTCCTGCACCTGATTACTGAAATTTTGATCTACTAGTGAAGTAATCAGCAGAACTTGCAATTTCTTCAATAGGGTTTTCTTTCTTTAGCCAAACATAACCCTGTCAGAAAAGATTCATTAATTTCAGATGGCAGTGCCTGGTTATGCATGACCCACTTGCCAGATCTCACCTTGGCAGTAAGAAAATAGCCATGTAGAAGCAGGTTGGGAGTTGCTTTAAATCTCTGACTGTCTCATTGTTACTCGTCTCTACCAAGTGGAAAATACATTCTTGCTGAGTCTTCTGAATGAGTTTCTTATTAATTATTGAGCAAAATTTTGATATTTACACTTTTTTTTTTTTTACTTCAAATTGCAGTGTTCATCATAAACTGTATTTTTGTTCTGTTATTCATACTATTTCAACTATAATTCCTCTGTAAACAAAGCAGAGCTCTGTATCGAATTAACATTTGTTAGACCAAAGAAAATGTAAGAAACAGAACAGTTTAAAGAGGAAAGAAAAAGTAAATTGTTGCTGGAATAAAAACTGTGGGTTTCCAGAAGGAGGCTCCTAAGGTGTTGGACTTAAGAAATGAGGATTTAAAAAAACAAGGAATTACCTGTAACAGGCAAAATACCAGAACGAAAATAAAATCTCTGCAAACTGTAAGTATAGTTAATAATGGATTAGGGACTGCTCTGTCTCTTCAGAAATATTTAACTCTTCAACATTTTGTTATACTACAGACTTCCCATGCCTGCAGAAAGATATAGCACTACTATTGCAATGTTGGGTTCTGCTTACCTACAGATGTTGAAAATAAAGCTGTAGGAGTGTGAGACTGACAGTACTCTGCTGTTGTCTTTTTGCGGAGTTGTGAGCAGTACTGTAATTAAAATTGGTTTGCCTTTTATAAATTGAAGAACAAATTACCTGTCTTCTGCCTTCCATGCTTGTATTTGCTTTAATTGATCATAGGTAGTCACTGGAAAAAAAGAGTAAATCCATCCAAACATAGTGGATTTGCATGCTGGAAGGAGAAAATAGTGCTTTTGTATGTAGGAAGTTTGAAAATAACAGTAGATCAAGTGAAACTACCAGTGACTCATACTCAGGAGGGGAGGCATGGCTGTTGGAAGGTGACAAGTAGTAATAGAAAGGAGTGATCTTGCTTGACATTTTAAATACACAAAGATAAAATTAAAATTCCTGTTACCATTATAAAGATGGGTGTGTGAGGAAAAGAAAGTGTCATACCCAGAAATCCATAGCAAGAACTCTATATCCACAGCTACTGTTATTATATTCTGGCTTAACTCTCTTGCTGATGTTGTAGGTGCAAATTATGTCGTACAGAGTCAGCAGTTTCCAATTTTCTTTCTTCCTTTCTGGATTTTCCCAAACTCTTAATACTGTGAGGAAAGATTCCATGTGTGTATTGTATAGCTTCTGAGTTTTATTTTGACTGTAGAGATTACTGTAACTGAAACTATTATCGTTCTTACAGCCTATGTAATTTGTCATTGGCATTTCTTTATTTCCCGTTGCAAAATCTCATAACACAGTGATCTATGTGATGTGCAACTGGATTGTAATGAATAAAAGCAAGCCAACACTGGTTAGTAATTGTTCATAATTTTACTTCACTGTCTGTGAGATCCTTTGACAGATGAGCTTTCTGTTATTTTTTAGGCTGAACAAGACAACGGCCATCCTCTTCCTGCCTTTGCCAATTTGCATATTGAAGTCCTTGATGAGAACAATCAGAAACCTTACTTTACAAAATCTACATACGAGGGCTTTATCCTTGAATCCTCCCCAGTGGGAACAACCATCTCAGATAGCCGGAATCTGACCTCTCCATTGCAAATCACAGTGTTGGACAACGATGTTGAGGAGGTATGTCGCTCTATAAGAAACTTCTAGTCTTAAATAAAAACTTAAATATTCTCATGCTAGTGTTTCCTGGATTTTTTTTTCACGTTTTTATTGAAAGCTTAACAGTTTTTTTAAAAAAAACTTCTATTTACTATTATGTGGATTTCTTTTCATTGAGTTCAAATGGATTTTAAAGTGATCATGAACTGGGAAGCTAACTTTCTTTGTTTTTGCCTAGCTATGCTTAACTGCCTTCTGTTAAAAATGGGTGCATAGCGCAAATTGGAGAAGAAATGCATTTCATGAGAAGGGTAGATCTTCCACAGTGTATGAGGAAATGAGAAAGAGAAACTCAAAATGGAAGGAATTATTAATTCCATGCACAATTCATAAGATGAGGAACAAGAAAAAAGGAGGCTAAGTGCTCATTTTGTTCTTTCCTCAGCTCAGGTTTTGATACTATCATCTTTCATGGTTAAAATTGAACATGTCCAAAAGAGTTGTAAACCAGATAGTAATCATGCAAAGTCTGTATGACTGTCTTTTCTTCTGGTCCAAATGTTGATGCTATCATATCTTTTATTTGTTGGTGTTTCCTTTTGCCCTATTTACTGTTGTCTCTCCAGCAGTCATCTTTACTTTTTTGTTTTGTTTCTGTTCTGTTGTTATCTGTGGATACCTAAAGGAAGCTGAGCTGTAGGCTTACGGTTTCTAGAGATTTTTATAGTTTAGCAGTAGGCAGAACGAGAGAACAGGTCATGTTCCCCTCTATCCCTTCAGTGCCAAGGAGGGATACTGAGAAGACCAGGGGGACCCATCTGATAAATACATAGTGAAGAGGCTAATGCCACCGGACAAATTTTGGCTTTTTCAACCATTGGGCAGTTGATTCAGCGCATGGCCCAATGGCAGCTGATGGGATCCACCTTGGTCATAGGGGAAAAAGAATTCTGACCCAGGATTTGTCTGGAGTCACTGATAGGGCTTAAACTAGGTTTGAAGGGAGAAGGGAGTGGTGGTGAGCCTGCACATGACAAGACGACAGGCGACAGAGGTAAGTTAGAGGGATAAGGTGCTAATGGAGGCCCTCAACCAGCTGCATGTTATGATGAAGAAAAAAGAGAGGCTAAAGCTAAATACTTCAAAGGAACTAAGGAGTTACTTTCCAAGAAGGTGACATGACCAACTACCCAGCTGCAGTGTTTCTACACCAATGCCTGCAACTTGGTAAATTGTTTGCTGATTACACCAAGCTGTGTGTTCAGCTGTGTGTTCAGAGAGACCTAGACAGGCTCAAGCAATGGGCCCAGGAGAGCCTCATGTGGTTCAACAAATCCAAGTGCAAGGTCTTGCACCTGGGTCATGGCAACCCCCACTATTAGTACAAGTTAGGGAATGTGAGGATGGAGCACAGCTTTGCCAAAAAGGACCTGGGGGTACCAGTGGATGCAAAGCTGGACATGCGTCAGCAATGTGCCTTCGCAGCCCAGAAAGCCAACCATATCTTGGGCTGCATCCAAAGCAGCATGGCCAGCAGGTCAAAGGAGGTGATCCTGCCCCTTTACTCTGTGCTGGTGAGGCCTCACCTGGAGTGCTGAGTCCAGATGTGGAGTCCTCAGTGCAGGAGAGATGTGAACCTGTTGGAGTACTACCAGAGGAGGGCAACAAAAATGATCCAACGAATGGAATACCTCTCCTATAAGGATAGGCGGAGAGAGCTGGGGCTGTGCAGCCTGGAGAAGGTTGAGAGGTGACCTGAGAGCAGCCTTTCAATATTTAAAGGGGAGCTACAGGAAAGGGAGGACAGACTTTTTAGCATGGTCTGTGGTGGCAGAACAAGGGGAAGCGTTCTTGGGGAGGAAGATTTAGGCTGGATATAAGGAAAAAGTCTATTACAATAATCTTGGTGAAGCACTGGCACAGATTGCCCAGAGATGTGGTGAATGCCCCATCCTTGGAGGTATTCAAGGTCAGGCTGAACCAGGCTTTCTGCAACCTAATCTAGCTGCAGATGTCCCTGTTCATTGCCAGAGAGTTGGACTACATGACCTTTTAGGGTTCCTTCCAACTCAAAGGATGCTGTGATTCTTAGGGGCGGTATGAAAGTTAAGGAACAAGTGCGTTGGCAGCCAACAGCAGGCATTGCTAATGACTGCTGTTGCTATATGTGAAATACTCTTCTTCAGCATTGCTTTTGTTAAAATCAGGGGGCTCTGTTGTTGGACCAAAGTAACAAGAGCTTGTAGATTGCTTCAATTAGGAATAAGTAAGGTGCAAGTAAGAGGTGTATGTTTATATTCATAGGACACAATGTGGTTTGTACTTGTATAATGTGTGAAGCTCAGTTTTCCTGAATGCAACAACAAAAAATTCATAAGAATTAGTGCCCATGGCTAAGTCCTTTTGGAGCTACTAATAAGGTAACTTCTCTTAGGGCTGTGATTCATATGTGCATTAAAAATTATTGGGATGTTTTTAGCTATCTTTTGCCTAAAATACCAATGTTTTGTCTTATCTATAGCTCCATGAAAATACTAGTAAAACCCTTTGGTTCAGATTTGCTTTGGTGTGGAGACAGTTCTGGTTATTTCCACAAAGGGCTGTTGATTGCAGAAATCTGGAGTTCTAGGGCATCTTTATAACATGCTTTTGTTAACATACACTGACCTCACAAAAATGTAGAAGATTAATCACTTGAAGAGTGAAAGACTGAAACCGAGTAGGTCTGTCTGTGAGACTGACAGGTTGGTATGTTGGATGGACATATTCTAAACTGTTCTGAGGGAACTGGCGGAGGTGATAGCCGAGCCGCTTTCCATCATCTGTCAGCGCTCCTTGTTGACTGGTGAGGTCCCAGAAGACTGGAGGCTTGCCAATGTGACTCCCATTTAAAGAAAGGTCGTAAGGAGGATCCGGGGAGCTACAGGCCTGTTAGCCTGACCTCGGTGCCAGGGAAGGTTATGGAGCAGATTGTCTTGAGGGAGATCATGTGGCATGTGCGGGATGACCGGGGGATCAGGCCTAGCCAGCATGGGTTCGTGAAGGGCAGGTCCTGTTTGACCAACCTGATCTCCTTCTATGATCGAGTGACCCAACTGGTGGATGAGGGAAAGGCTGTTGATGTGGTCTACCTAGACTTCAGCAAAGCCTTTGACACTGTCTCCCACAGCATTCTCCTGCAGAAGCTGGCAGCCCGAGGCTTGGATGGGTACACTCTTGGCTGGGTAAGGAGCTGGCTGGAGGGCCGGGCACAGAGAGTGGTGGTGAATGGAGTTGAATCCAGCTGGCGACCAGTCGTGAGTGGTGTTCCCCAGGGGTCGGTGCTGGGGCCTGTCCTCTTCAATATCTTTATTGATGACCTCGATGAGGGCATCGAGTGCACCCTCAGTAAATTCGCAGATGACACCAAATTGGCTGGAAGTGTGGATCTGCCTGGGGGTAGCAAGGCCCTACAGAGGGATCTGGACAGGCAGGAGAGCTGGGCTGAAGCCAATGGGATGAGTTTCAACAAGGCCAAATGCCGGGTCCTGCACTTCGGCTACAACAACCCCAGGCGACGCTACAGGCTTGGGGCGGTGTGGCTGGAGGACTGCGTAGAGGAAATGGACCTGGGGGTGTTGGTTGATGCTCGGCTGAACATGAGCCGACAGTGTGCCCAGGTGGCCAAGAAGGCCAATGGCATCCTGGCCTGCATCAGAAACAGCGTTGCAAGCAGGAGCAGAGAGGTGATCATTCCCCTATACTCAGCACTGGTGAGACCGCACCTCGAGTACTGTGTCCAGTTTTGGGCCCCTCACTGCAAGAAAGATATTGAGGCCCTGGAACATGTTCAAAGGAGGGCAACAAAGCTGGTGAGGGGTCTGGAACACAGGCCATATGAGGAGAGGCTGAAGGAGCTGGGAATGTTCAGCCTGGAGAAGAGGAGGCTCAGGGGAGACCTCATTTCTCTCTATAACTTCCTGAAGGGAGGTTGTAGTGAGCTGGGGGTCGGCCTCTTCTCTTGTGTCATTAGTGATAGGACCAGAGGGAATGGCTTCAAGCTACGGCAGGGGAGATTCAGGCTGGACATGAGGAAGTATTACTTTTCAGAAAGGGTGGTCAGGCACTGGAATGGACTGCCCAGGGAGGTGGTGGAGTCACCGAGCCTGGGGGTGTTCAAGGAAAGGCTGAATGTTGTGTTGAGGGACATGGTTTAGTGGGAGCTATTGGGAATAGGTGAACGGTTGGACTGGATGATCTTTTAGGTCTTTTCCAACCTTGGTGATTCTATGATTCTATGATTCTAAACCCAGAATAGGGATTTTTGCAAGCTGGAGAGCTGGTTGAGAACCACTTCTACCTGGGTTGCCTTGCTGCTGGGTTGAGAGGTGGACAGGTGAATATAGTACATAAATCTGTCTATTACTACGTGGTGTGCTGCTGGTGTTTTCATATCTGCAAGTCCACTGCTGGTCAAGCACCTGAGAGCTATGTGTCCTTATGGCTTTTACATCTGTGGTTGCCTAGGAAAATCCTACTGTGTGTACAGGGTCTGCAGAGGTAAATGAAGTCCTGTGGCATGGCTGGTGAGGTGGGACTGCATCAATTGTGCTTGAAATAGTTCAGACTCTCTCCTGTTTCCTAGAAGATACTCTTGCACTTTCCAAGGGAATGGACGAAGGACTTTCATCTTCATTAACCTCCAGAGCTTTTTCAGATTAGTAGTTATCGGTGCTCTTTTCAACTTGCACTTTCCCTGGTGGTTGTAAATTTCCAACCACAAGATGTCAAAGGCAGGTTTGATCACGTAAGGTTCTTTGCTGTTGTTGCTATATGCTACATTATACGTGAGACTGAAAACTCAGCATTTGATAGCTCAAAATCATCTATATTGCAAGTGGGTTTGACCACAGGGCTCTGCATCTCCTGCTTGTTCCGTGCTCACCACACTCTGGTGAAGAACCTTTTCCTAATACCCATAAGTTAAGGACAAACATTCATTTACATGATTCAAAATGCAGTACACCCAAAAGTATCCCAGC